AAAAAATTAGAAAAATCAGCCAGGCATAGTGGTGTGTGCCTGTAGTCCCAGCTATTTGGGAGGCTGAGGTGGGAGCATCATGCCACTGCACTCTAGCCTGGGTGACAAAGAGAGATCTTATCTCGAAATAAAAAGGATTTTATTACAACAGTATTATAACAATAGAACAAACTACTGAAACAGGAAATCTCTTTCCTCACCATCACTGCAGCAGTTTCATCTTCAGCACAGGGAACCAAAAATTTCAATTAAAAAACACATCTTTGTTCAAAGAGGGTATTATCACCTCTTCTCTAAGAGAGTACACAGTGTCTACAGAAACACTAAAAAACCCCCCACAACTATATAATTGTTTGCCTATATCCCCATTAGGCTATTAGCTACGGAAGAAAGGGTTCCACTGTACTTTCCATGGCAGATGTTCAATAACCCTATGTTAAATGAAAAATGCAAACAGATACCTCTGTTTTTGTCTTCACTTTAGATGGTGTGGAGACTGTGGAAGATGTTTTTAATTCATCTTTTAATTGTGAGATCTTTTCTCCAAGCTCTTTCAAAGTTTTCATTATATTTGCTCTTTCTTCTGGTTTCATGTTTTTGTTTTTTTCTAGCTTGGATATTAGCATCTACAAAATAAACAGAATATAAATAAGCCTTAAAAACTTTATTATTATGTGTATCTTTGTAAAATCAATTCTGTGTATCAACTCCATGTGCAAATAATGAGCTCGTCTTACCTTTTGACATTCTATTTGTTTTTCTAACATTTCTTGCCTCTTTTTTCTCATATCTTGTTGTAGCTTCATTGCTTCCTGTATGAATAGGTAAAGAAATTAGTTAACGGACAACAAAACTGCCAGTGATATATAATGGTCCTATATTCAACTCATTTCTTCTGGGTCATCCCTATCTAAGACAGATTTTCCTCATAATCAAAAATTAGCTGAAACCAGAGATGAAACCTTTGAATATACTTTCCCCAACACTTCCAACATAACAGAGTTTACACTTATAACTGTACTTAAAAAATATTTAAAATATTGGACACTAACTAGCTTTATCTACGAGGTTTACTGACTTGAATGATCTGAATGTCTTTATGAAGAAAAATAGCTGTTTAAACTTGCCAATAAGCCAAATCCTTATTTTTGAAGTTTAAAGTTTAAAAATGTAAGTTGCAGCTATAGATTAGAAATGATAGCAAAATCTATGGATTTTGCCACAGAAATTTTGCATACCACTCTCCTGTTAATTAAATCTCTAATTATACTGAGACAGTATACATAAATATTTTATCTGAAAAACCCTATGTGAGCTTAAATCTAAGATGACAA